TGTTGTAACATAAAATGTTATCTGCTGTTTTCAGAAAGTCAGAGAAGTAGTTGCCACCCCATCCCTGTTCGTCCTGCTAAAATTCTGTTCTGTTTTCACCCTAATTTGACACCTCCATACTTGGTTCCCTCCTACTCCATGCTGTTTACAACCCAGGCAGCTCCTGTTAATTTTTTTTTTTTTTTAAGATTTAAGATTTTAAAACATGCCTGTTTCTAATCTCACAGCTTTTATGTAACACTGCTGGGATATACACGTTCTTACTTACCCAGTTCATGGTCGGTGTTTTGCAGACAATGAGTTCAAGAGCATACCATCGAAAGGCATAGGGCTGTCGTTGGCCATGCCTCAGTGATGGCACAGCAGGCAAGGTTCAGTGGGGCCCTGAGTGGGGCATGTTTTCAATAATTGATCATTGAGAAGAAAGCAATTAATCTCTTCCACCGGCAGCTCTATCTCCTTTTTTAATGAAAGGAGTCTGTGCTTTTTCCTGGGCGTACGTTGACGATCACCTGGAGCAAAGACAAATGGTGCACCCGAAGTTAAAAATCTAAATATATCCTACTGAAGTTTGACCCCACCCATGGAGATTTTGTCGTCATTTTAGATGTGAAAGTTTTGCTTTGTGCCTCCAGTGTGAAGTGTTTGCTAAGCTGTTAATATGAAACTGACCAAAGGTTCCTTAAACCTTTAGCTACTTTTGGTTAAAGAGAGTAATCCCTTTGTCCAAGTATAATTTTCAAAAGTTAAATATAGGACACACAAATATAGAATGAGCATGTATCAAAGATTGATTTAATACATTAATGAGGGACCCAGCAGGCTGGCAAAGCTGGTTCACAGGAGAACCAAAAGAACAGATTATAAAGGCATCCAGGAAGGAACGTCAGGGTAGGATGTCAGGGTCAGGTGTAAACTGATTAGCAGTTCTGTAGGACAACAAAACCTGACAGAAATCATTTACATCTCTACTGGGCAGAAATCTGTAAGTTACTGTTAACTTTAAAGGCTGGGCCTTCAATCCATAATAAAGAGCTTGTCCAACACAACACCACTGCCTTGGGTAATGAAATAAGCCTTGGGTGGCCGTTAATACTTGGAAGGACGCTGGAAGAAGATGCTTCTCTCCCTTACCTTGTTTACAAGTTCTGGTTCATTTTTTTCAACATCTTATTATCTGAGTGAACTTCACTTACATGAGGAGTGGTCAAATTCGTAGAGACAGAAGTAGAATAGTGCTTGCCAGGGGCTGAGGGAGGGAGAATGGGGCATTAGTGTTGAATGGGAACAGTTTCAGTTTTGCAGGATGAAGAATGTTCTGGTAGGTAGTTGCCCAATAATGCAAATACTAAGTAGCACTGAACTGTACACTGAAAAATGATTAAGATGGCATGTTATGGGTATTTTACCACAATTTGAAGCAATTAAATGAGCTGACACATGGGTCTATGAAGAAAAAGCTAACAATTCTTTGTCCTCCTGAGATAACTAACTTAGGAATCCAATGTTTGTGTTAACTTTTCCTTATTCATAAAAATGTATGTTGACCTTTTAAAAGGCGATTATTAAAATCCTTTACTCTGTGACATTTGCTGTTTTCACTTATGGATCTATCAAGGATGAGCCTCTGGGTTACAGATATTGGTCGAACTCATTCTCTTTAACACCAGCTCCATAGAATGGTCGGGCCATAATTTATTCAACCACTGCTTTACTAATGGACATTCAGTTGTTTCCAGTTGTGTTTTGTTCTGTTTTTTGCCAGAATAAACATATCATAATACAGGTTGAAGGCTGGGATCTCAGTAGTGACAACAAGGAGGCAGAGGAGGGAATTGTTCAAAGGAATGTTTTGTTGGGAAATGGATTGGTTTTAGGGGCAAGTTGAAAATTTTGGTGCAAGAGCAGAGAATGAATAGTGCTGGGATGTGACTGAAAGAAGGAAGAAGAAGAGCAAGGTTATGGGCAGATGACATAGAAGCAAGAGAATCGGGTTTGTTTTTAAAATGCCAGGCTTGGGTACCTGGGTGGCTCAGTCGGTCAGCGACCAACTCTTAGTTTTGGCTCAGGTCGTGATCTCAGGGTCATGAGATCAAGCCCCTTGTTGGGCTCTGTGCTGAGCCTGGAGCCTGCTTGAGATTTTCTCTCTCCCTCTTCCCCAACTCATGTATGCTCTCGCTCTCTCTCAAAAAATACAATACAGTACAATACCAGGCTTAAGATAGGCATGTTATCTGTGTCCACTGGACAGTGGAAAATCAGGGCCTAAGGCTTGGGGAAGACATCACAGATGGAGACATTGATCGTAGTTGGTCATAGACAAAGTCATAGTTGAGGCTATGGGAGTAAGTGAGATGTGCTCCCAGGGCAGCCTTATTCTGGAGGAAGGAGGGAACGTTCATGGCAGTTACTTGTGTTTAAGAGTCTGGCTAGGGAGACAGACGGAGACGCTGTGATCTGAGAGGGGGGAGAAATGGCGAGTAAGGAACTTTAATGGGCCCTGCCTCCAAGAAGGTCTGCAAATGTGGGTTTCCTTGTATGTCAACCAGCAAAAACAATGGCACAGTTTGATAAGCCAATTTGGGCCACTACTGACTAGGCCGAACGAACTCTCGGAGGGGCAGTTCAGCTATAGTTCGACAACTCTCAACAGAAGTTACAAGGTCATTTTATGATTTTTTTTTTTAAAGATTTTATTTATTTATTTGACAGACCGAGATCACAAGCAGGCAGAGAGGCAGGCAGAGAGAGGAAGGGAAGCAGGCTCCCCGCTGAGCAGAGAGCCTGATGCGGGGCTCGATCCGAGGACCCTGGGATCATGACCTGAGCCGAAGGCAGAGGCTCTAACCCACTGAGCCACCCAGACGCCCCTACAAGGTCGTTTTAAAGACTATTCAGTTTATAGTTTATAGGACTTAAAGGAGCGTATACGTCAATGTCACCATCTCAAGTGAACCAGAACGTCGCACAGCGGTGCCCACGGAAGCAGCAAATACCGGGAATCTCTAAAACGTTTACAGTGAGCTCTGACGCTGTCCCCACAATCTCCGTTAGCTTACAGATGACGCTGCTGCCACCTGACCTTTTTATAAAGGATCTGTGAATTTTTAAACATACCCAACGTGATTGGAGGGAGAAATAAAGGCAATTAGTGATCATCCAAATGCATCATTCTGCCCCTTCTCGTGGCTTTGAGAAATACCCGTGTCTGGAAAAGCAACAGAGTCATCAGAACTGCTGATGTCACTGAGGAGTGACATCCCGGGGAGCCTGCCAGGTCTGATGCTGGATTCAACTTAATTCACACACTGTGTTCTTAGTCATACCCTAGACGCCATGGTTAAAGTTTCCTGGAGAAGAATCCAAAGACATAAAGATGAGGGCTCTCACCAGAAAGTGCTTTGTCATCTGGTGGGGAAATAAGATACGTTCTCTGAGGTATTCTGTGACCCGCCCCCCACGCCCCAGGATTGTGTTTGTTGCTGTTGAAGGAATTTGCTAGTCCGAGTGCGCTCGGTCCATACCTGAGTTCCCCCAACCAAGAAGCAGGTGTGTGCACAGTGGGGACGCGAGCAGGTTAGAGGAGGCAACAGGTGGTGGACGAGCTGTTTTCCAGGTAATGTGATCGGAGTCGTATTTATAGGGTGGTCATTTTCAGGCGTGGTGGACTCGGGCCATCGTCTTGGGTTACTTGATTATAAACTGTGAAGAAGGAGGTCATCGCTGTGGAGTGTTGATGTAAACAAAGGCTGGTGAGTCCACAGTGGAAGGCTTATTTGTAGGTTCGGTGTCACCTTCAATATCCCTAGTGGCTTGCTGTAGGGAAGACTGCCAACAGAGGGTGGGAGACTTGTCAAAGTCTCAGTCACTACCTTACTGTGCTGGGCGCCCCGTCATCCAAAGGCATTGATGAGTCAAAGGAACTAACCAGAGGAACATAAGAGATGTTCTGCGAGGATTCTTAGGAAAGCAAGTTAGTGGTGGAGCTCAACTTCCCCCTGCCCACTAGGGTCCTATTCCAGCTGCTTGCAGGAAGAATCCAGAATTCTTTATCTAAGGCTCTTATTTATATAAGAGTCACCCAAGCTTGGGCATCAAGAGAGGAGGTTCCCAGCTGCTGTGCTGGTTGCCAGTCCTTTGGCAATGGAAACGCTTTATTCTCAGGGTCTGCCTTAGGCTTTATTTTTGGACAAGTCGCTGTGCCCTCCTCCAGTCTTGTCTGAACATGTAGGCCACGCCCAAGCCCCTGACAGCCTGGGACCTTGCACTATCTCCATAACCCACAGCTGCACAGTTTCGAAAGAGACACCAAAATCCAGACACAGAAGGCAATTCCCTTTGGCATGTACTGAGGTCCAGAATGACAGTTTTATCTTGGACACGTTCCCTTTTCTTTCCTCTTTTGTCTGTTCATTTTTATCTCTCCCTATACTATATAAATAATTGGCTTATCCTATTTGCTGCCCACGGAGAAAATTAAACGTCTGAGTTTTTCATAGCTGTGGGGAAGTGTTTCCAGAGCGGGAACAAATGGACATTGGACATTTCAGCTACTGCTTTCGGTATCGTGGGAATTTATTACTCAGCTTAGTAACAGTCCTGGACCAAACCAAGCAGTTGTGCGGGCAAGCCTTGAATACCTTTCCTAAATCACACTGCCAGGAATACCTTTGTTCCTAATTGAGACAGCACGAACCAAGGGCATCTTTCCATCAAAGACTGATTATCTCTGAATCTTAGACATACCACAAAAGTCATTGAGCCCCAGCCAAGGCATTTTACTTGTATGAGCTATTGCATGCTCCCAAAAGGAGGGAAACAGAAGGGGAGGGAGGCAAGAGAGCACTCCCAGCCCAACAATAAATAGCTCTTTGTACCAGTCCCCTCCCCTAACCCCCAGCCACTGACATCAGGGGCTAAGTTCCCAGCAGGCAGGGGCGGGCGGCGGCTGACCAGCAGCTTCGCGGGTGTTGACCAAGCGCGAACTTGTCTTTCCACAGTGTGCGGCTGTGACCTGGCACAAGGGGGCTTCTTCATAAAGAACGGGGAGTACCTCTGCACCCTGGACTACCAGAGGATGTATGGGACACGCTGCCACGGCTGTGGGGAGTTTGTGGAAGGAGAGGTGGTCACTGCCCTGGGCAAGACCTATCATCCCAACTGCTTTGCCTGCACCATCTGCAAGTAAGTGGTGGCTTCCCCGACCGAGGAGTGCCGGGTTCTGCTCTTACAGCCCGGGATGTACGCCTTTTGTCTTGAGTTGTACTGCCTTGAAACAATCTTCTTCTGAGGCACCCATAGATTTAAAATATATATATATATATTCCTTTTGTTTTATCAGTCCTCATCAAAATGTAATTTAGTTGGGAAACTTTACAACGAGGTCTTCTCCCAAGTAATCGGACTGATTTGAAGCGACTTGAAACCAAGTGTGAAAGCAACTCTGGGTCTTGAAACATTTTGAGCAATGAAAACCTTAGGAAATGGCGTAACTGCTTGGAAAGATGAAACTTCTTTGAAAGTATACGTTCATATGCGTGTGTTTCAAAATAGTCTCATTTACTCTGTAGCAGAGCTGGGCAGACCCTGCCCCATGGCCCAAATTATCCCCAATATATGTCTTTGTAAATACAGTTTTATTGGGACAAATAAAGTTTTATTGGGACACATTTTGTTTGTTCCCATATAGCTGCTTGAGGCTGCTTTGGAGCTACAGTGGCAGAGTTGAGCAGTCGTGGCAGACACCGTATGATCCACAAAGTCTAAAAAATTACTTCTGGTCTGAACTCTCAGAGGGAAAAGTTGTCCCACCTCTGCTCTCCAGGCTTCTGTCCTCCAGCAAGGTCAAATTTTCACTGCACAAACCAGCTTGGTTAACATGACCAGTCAGAGGGAAGAAGGGGAAAGTATGTGAAGCGTGAGTAGGGAAATGTGGTGGTTTCACCATTGCTGTGTTTCGAATGCTGCACATTATAGAAATCAAGATGACTTTGTTCCCACAATGAGGAGAGTCAACAACAAGGGTCAGCGGCTTTATTGACCTGTCCTCATCGGGCAGTCCCCTTCCTTTCTGTGTTTGATGGCCGTGTGCTCCATTTTGCTGCGGCTTTGTAAAGATGATGGTTCAGAGAAGGTGTTTTGCTTTGTTTTTCATCATTTTATGTTTCTAGGCCAGAGAGATGTAAACTCTAGAAAGGTAAACTTCATTTTATCTAATTAGCTAATAAGGTAGTACTGACAGATGAACCATATAAGATCTAGATGAGGTATTATGGTAAAATTATTGTAATAATATTTTATAGTTATTATCCCATTTCTCAATTACATCTTTTTATTTTTTTTAATTACATCTTTATAAATCCCAATTTTAAAATGCGGGATTATTGAACTGAAAATCTGTGTGTATTTAATCCAAAGTAAAGTTTCCTCGTGACTGCTCCCTTTTCACTGTCTGCTTAAAGGCCCTTGGCTGGCATTCGAGAGTCCCAAGTTCTAGTCCTGCTTTGCTGAATGGTATGAATTAACTTTTGCTTCATCTGTAAGATAGGAGGCTGTGGACCAGAGTCAAGTGATTCCCCAAACTGGGATGAGCAGTGGGCCCCTCCCCTGGGGAGGGTCTCTTTACAAATACCTGTTTCTAGCATTTTCCCCCAAACTCTCCTGCTGTTCTGGTAGTTTCTAGAGGGTTCCCAAGTATGGGGCTACTCAGCCAGGTTGGAAGGCCCTGGCCCCGATAAACTCTAAGAGCCCTCCTGATCCTGACCTTGAGAGATCATCGTTTTAAAGTCGGTGATGAAGGACAAGCCTCTGTTAGTGACAGTCCTGTCCCCGGCCATTTGGGTCAGCAAAGAGGTGCTCACTGTTGCTACTAGCGCGCAGTTGCCACCGCTGCTGGCTGACGGTATCTGACCTCAAGTGGAGGCCTCCTTTATGGGTGACAAACTGCATTCTGGTTGAATCTACTTTAACCCTCTTAGCAATTCCGTGAAGTCAGCCAGGAATTAGTGTCCCTAATTATGAGCGACTCTGAGTCTCAGAGTTTAAGGGACTTTCCCCAGGCTAAGACGGCAAGGCTTATACGATTTGAACTCAGGGTTCCTGACCCCAAATCCAGTTCTGTGGATCACACACATTCATTCACACAAGTGGCAGAGGGGAGTGAAGCCATGTGGGCAGAGGACACAGTGGGCCGCCGGCGGAAAGAACCGAAGAGGGTCATTTATAAAATCACACAAGCCAGCGTTCCAGTGACCCAAGAACTGGACTTTGGTTTGTCCCCTGGTGGATCCAGGTGGGATTCGAGGCTAAACCTACAGGAGTGGCTCAGAGGCCAGAGGAGACTAGTGTGCCTTGCACGGTCTACACCTGCGAGTTGGGGCCTCCTTAAATGCTGTGCCCCAGGTGCCCCAGGTGCTCACTGGCCTCGACCTAGTCCCGGCCCTGATCAGATGCAAAAAGCCCATGCCTGCGCTTCCGGCCCCGTAACTCCTGATGCCCCCTCACGGAGCGGACTGGGGGCTCGTTCAGGGTTCCTGGGTGAAGCAATAGGCCCACTGGCATTCGCCAGAGCATGAGTTTTGACTGTTAAAGACTGAGAAGCCCGGGCACCTGGGTGGCTCAGTGGGTTAAGCCTCTGCCTTCTGTTCGGGTCATGATCTCAGGGTCCTGGGATCAAGTCCCGCATCGGGCTCTCTGCTCTGCGGAGAGCCTGCTTCCCCCTCTCTCTCTGCCTGCATACTTGTGATTTCTCTCTGTGTGTGTCAAATAAATAAATAAAATCTTAAAAAAAAAAAAAAAAAAAAGATTGAGAAGCTCTGCACTGGTGGATGCCACTTGCACCTGCCTGGGGGCCCGTCTCCGGAGCTGGTCCATCCAGGCAGGTCGCTTAACCTCTCTGGGCCTTATCTGAACAATGGAAAGTGACATAGTCCCATGAGAGAAGAGACGGCCTCAGCTCAGCCCTTATGAAAGGAGGGCGCGGGGGAGAGTAAGAGCTCCTCACTCTCCTTGAGGACCAGCGCGAAGCACATCCGTGAGGTTGTTTTAAGTCCAAATTTACTCCCTGTGCGTGTGTTGCGGTTAATTACCAACCGAAGGGCCACTTAAAGGAGGGATGGCAGCTGTGAAAGTGAGGCTCCTGTCAAGGAGCTAGCATTTGTTCTTAAGTAATTGCTTCTGACTCAGATGTGTGGGGATGTTTTGCTTGCGAGTTCTCCATTTCCTAACTGACAAAATCACACGTTTGAAAGCTCACGTTAATGAAGGGTATTGGCAAATTGCCAATGACAAGTAAGCAGGCTTGGAAATTGTCACATGTGTTGTCGTTGATGACTTTTCTTTTCGAAAGGCTACCTGCCCCCTGAACTGGCAGGAGAAGAGACCGGTGACACGCAAGCAGAGGCAGTATTTTTGCAAACTCTGTTATTGACAAATAGCACAAAAGGAAACTACCTCTTTGAAAAGAAGCTAATGGTTTTCTTTTTAAGTGTTTAGAAGCTAATAGTTTTAAAACAGGTAGTTACAGCACGGTTGTAGTTCTCCACCAGGAACTGGGTCTCCAGCACTGAAACACCCCGTTCACCCAGTCAGATGTCTGGGACAAAGTCTAACTAGGTACAGAAACACGTAGGTCTAGGGAAGTGAAAGTGTTAATGCTTGACCCGTAACCAGTTCTCCTGGGCAGGGGCCTTAAGCCTGAATAGGAATTTATGGCATTTAAAATATTTCTTCTTGAAGGATTTTCCATTTGGAAAATGGAAAATTTTTCCGTGTGTACCTGGCTAGGTGACTTGTTGGAACAATCCCTCCACTAATGAGTAGAGGTAAATCATTCCATTTACTGTCTGGATGCTGGTAGAAGCAGTGCCTTCTCCCTTCTCAAAATGAGGCATGCTTATTTGCTTGGACTATATCCAGCTGGCTGGCTTGGTTAAGACTGCATTTCAGACATTCTGGCTGCTGCTCCTCAAAGAAATGGATTGGCACGGGGGGGGCAGCAAGCAGAAGGGGTAAGGAAAAGAAATTAAATTGCTGGAATAACCTTGAGGGCAATGTCTTTCTGTCTCCAGACGTCCATTTCCACCCGGAGACCGAGTCACGTTCAATGGGAGAGACTGCCTTTGTCAACTGTGCGCACAGCCAATGTCGTCCAGCCCTAAAGAAGCCTCCTGCTCCGGCAGTAAGTGTCCCAGCCACCCGTTGACATGAGTTACTTGTAGTTCAAAGGTAGCTTAGGCAAGTGCCTTCCTTTCTGTGAAAGCAAATGCTGAGCATAATCGTGTCTAAGGCCATTTGCGATGGTAAAACGTGAAGCCTTCGCTAAAATCCGTGCAGTGAGAAGCATCTCCCTTATGTCAAAAAGGCGTAAATAGCATTGCACATCAAACTGCATTTTGAGAGTAAATGAAGGAAAAAGAAGGATAACACTTTATATGAGAAATGCCCATTCCCTAGTCATGGTGGTTGAGATGTGCAAACATTTGGTGGTGAAGGAATTGATAGCTCTGTGTATTAAAAAAGCTGTCCCCCTTGGGACACCTGGGTGGCTCAGTCGGTTAAGCGTCTGCCTTTGGCTCGGATCATGATCCCGAGGTCCTGGGATCAAGTCCCACATCGGGCTCCCTGCTCAGCGGGGAACCTGCTTCTCCCTCTGCCTGCTCTGCCTGCTGCTCTCTCTCTCTCTGACAAATAAATAAATAAAATATTAAAAAAAAAAAAAGCTATCCCCACAGTGCCTAGGGCAAAGGTGATGATTTATACTTACCCTTAACTCTTTATGTCTGTTATCCTTAAATATTTATTCACTGGGAGGGTTTCCAACACTGATTTATTGCACAGATAATTTGCTGAGCACCTACGATGTGTGATGTCGTTCCCACTGGGCATCCAGGCGTGAACAAAAAGTTAGCACCTCCCGAGGCTTACTTCCTAGCAGGAACAGGCAGACCATAAGTGCATACACCAAAAGATCTAATATCTAAATTAAAGTAGGAAGAAAATGCAGGGTAGAGGGGCAGCATTTATAAGGGGCAGTCGAGGGAGACATCTCTCAAAGGTGACCCTTAAGGAGAATCTGAAGAAAGTGTGGGAACAAGATACATGGGATTTGTAGTTCCTTATGACGAGGTCTTGTCTGACATGTGGGAATCCAGAGACACTAACTTGCTCCCAGACCTTCCCCCTGCAGACTTCCCTCCTAGAGCTAGTAACACTGTTTCTTCTAGTAAGTAACACTGGGTAAGTCAGTTAACTTTTAAGTGAAATGTAGTCTGATCGCTGGCACCAAACAGTGAAGCTCTTCTTCCGCTCCTTTCCTGGTGCGTTAGGAAGTCGAACAGAGGTTTGCCTTGGTTTCTGCAGATTTTGCCAATCTTTGGGAGATCTGCACCAAATTCCATTAAGCCTCTCCAGTCTCAGTACATAAGAATGAAATAAGCCACTTCTGCTCTAGAGGAATTCTGGGCAATCCATAGCAGTGAGTCCAAATTTTTTGTTAAAGAAGAAGAATCCTTATACCTTTTTTTCAAAAAGAATGTTCTGACCAAAGCATTTGCATAGAAATTGGATTTGACCGTTGGGAGAAAAGAAGAAAAGAGATGTATTCGTGCATCTTATTCAACACAGCCGGATCCTTAGCATGTGAATTTATATGTCCTATTGATAAATTACTGGCAGCCTGAATAGGACAAGAGCTATAAGGCAAGGCCCAGTCCTAGACCATAGCAGGGCTTCACTCTTCTAACTACCCTGACCCCAAGCAGGTCACTGGGGAGGTGAGCCAGGGTGGGAATAGTCATCCCAACTGTGTGGGACAGCCTACTTCGCAAGTACATTACCAAAAACTTTGGAGGAGGTTTTCAATCTAGTTAAGAAAAAGGATTTTGGGGACGCCTGGGTGGCTCAGTTGGTTAAGCGGCTGCCTTCGGCTCAGGTCATGATCCCAGCATCCTGGGATCGAGTCCCACATCGGGCTCCTTGCTCATCAGGGAGCCTGCTTCTCCCTCTGCCTCTGCCTGCCATTCTGTCTGCCTGTGCTTGCTCTCTCTCCCTCTCTCTCTCTGACAAATAAATAAATAAAATCTTAAAAAAAAAAAAAAAGAAAAAGAAAAAGGATTTTGGGAAAAAAAAAGAAAGAAAGAAAGAAAAAGGATTTTGTGAATCCCAGGAAAGAATGACAGCTGCTAATAGAGGGTCATGTCCAAAGGCCTATAATAGGAATGACTATGTCCTCAAAATCTGTAGAGTCCTTCAGTCCAACTATCTTTTTTTTTAAGTCAACTCAACACCCAATGTGGGGCTTGAACTCACAACCCTGAGATCAAGAGTCGCATGCTCTGCTGACAGAGCCAGCCCAGCGCCCCATACCCTTCTTGATAGGTGAGGTCATTAGGGCCCACGGGCATACATAAGGTCACCAAAGCTGTCCCTTAATAAGACAGGATTAGAGGCAGGTCTTTTGAGTTTTGGGCTCTCTTCTGTTTCATCTCATACTCCTCATTATTTGGTTTAAGAATCAGACATAGGTATTTTTAAAGGCTTCCTGTCCTATCTCCCATCCATTTCGGGGATGGGTTTTCTCTTCACATCATTACCAAAATGGTTATTCCAATTTCTAATAAACATTTTTTTTGCTTTATGTGTATTTTCCATTTTATATGACATCCATGTGATACACATAAGGAAGAAATAAAAATTTTAAGTATAAATATGTATCTTACCCAAATTTATGGTATCTTTAATGCTAGATGTAATAACAATTGCATGTGTGCCCATTGTTGGACCAAGTCCTATTTTCTCCTTGGATGAGATCTCTTTTCTATGCTACTGCTTTGGTCAGAACAGTTTTATTTTCAACAAGTACTTGTCTATTTAGATCAGTACTTAAATAACATTTATGGGGCACGTGGGGTGTTAAAAAAGAGCTCTTATTATGGATACCCAAGCGGGACAGGCACATAGATACTAGAGCAAGGGAATTCTCGGCAAGCTGCTGGAATTCACTAGAGTGTAATTAGAAGACACTTGGTCGTTATATGTGATTCCGTGAGAATCACCTTTATCCTGATGTGACTTTGATTCTTATTTTAAAAATGTCTAAAAGTTGGCAAATCACCCTAAATCAAAGTGAAAGAGGAAATGCCTCTTTGATGCTGCTCAGAGTCAATGAAGTACATGAGAGTTAAGGTCCTCTTTCTCCTTTGGAATGTTCTTTCCAAAAACAAACTTGCTCTTCTGAACTGCAATTCTGTTTCACGTTGGGTGGCTGTTTCCCATTTTCACTGCCTAGGAGGTGCGACACAGTGTGAGAAGAAGTGAAGGGTGGTCCACAGATCTAAGTCAATGATGCGATGAGAATTTGCACAAAACAGTGTCTGCTTGACCACACAAAACAGGCGTGGTTTCTACTACAGCCCATTGGGAGCTACCCGGCTGTCCTCCTCTGGTTTAGAGAGGACCCTCAGGGGCGTGCCTGTGATCTCACCTTACAATCATTCCTTTAACCTTTATATTTATTCTATCTTCTTCTTCAAGCACTCACGTAGCATTCACTGTGGGTCAGGTCCTTTATAACTGCTCCATGAATTTTAATTCACTTAATTCACATAACCACCCACTAGGTTGGTACTATAACTATCTCCTTCTCATAGAAGAAGACACAAAGGGCCATAGAGGTTAATGTGTCCAAGATTACACAGATGGTAAGCAGTGGAGCTGAGTTACAGACCCAGGCTGTCTGGCTGGCTCCAGAGGCCGTACTGGCGTCCCTGATGTCGGTTTCAAAAGGTGGGCATCACTGTCTGCAGAGCCTCCGGCGATGGCCTGACTTGTCGGCACATTTACCTGAGTGTCCTGCCTCCAAGGGCTGTGCGCTTTCTACACACCACAGCCGCCTTCCTTTTGTCGCCAGGTTTGAGGAATGGAAACCACGAGGAAGTTATTCCTAAAAACTACTTCCACTAAAGATGATCGCCCTGAATTAGTTAAAACTCTTGCTGCATCCGGTCTGATGTAATTTGAATTCGATAAGGAATAAACCTTCTATAACATGGAAATAATAGTAAAAATCACCTCAAAGGGTTGTGATAAACATTAATTAAACTGGCTTTACTATTAAAAAAAAAAAAAGCAATTGCCTATGTCCAGCTGATCCATGCTTTAAAAATAAAAATTGACATCCAGAAGACGTTAAGTCCAACTAGAAGGTTATGGGCACTCCTCTACAGCCCAGTTCTTCCCCCAGTCTTTGCCAGAGTTGAGCTGGATTCCCATGGGGTAAGGAGCCCTGTGAGGGGAAAATATGTGTGTGGCAACCTAGAATGTAGGGAACCGGGGTTTGGATTGTTGTTTGCTGCACAGCTCATGTCTATTTCAGGCCCCTGAGCAGGAGTGGGCTGCTGTCTACCTTCCCATTTCAAAGGGTGTCTGACTAGTGTCTGATTGCGTGTGGGTTTGGTGGATTGACACAATGACCACCCACACACAAATACATCCAAACCCATCTCCCTCCTCCCCCTCTGCACGGCATTGTCATTATTCCGAAAACTGCAATTGGAACTCCTACAGGTATCAAGGCAAATGCTGGGCTTGGCCTGAATTTAAATCATTTCAGATAAAGAATCACGTGCACGCTTTCAAAGGGGAGGAAGAACTTTCCTATTATTTTATGTTTCTTTTTATAGTTGCAAGATGACTTTTATTTTCTCTTTCTGTTCCCTCCCAAAAAATCATCTGCGGGTTGAGTGGGATTTGTCTGCTGAGACACCTAACAGTGGGTGGGATTGTGATGATCTGACACTGGTGTGTGACTGCCCAGATCAGGCTCTAGCTCTGCCGCTTGCTGACATTCTCTTTACCTTTCCAGCCTCCATTGCCTTATCCATAAAATGGGATGGTAATAATTACCTTGTAGGATTAAATGAGGACATATATGTAAATGCCGTATTCTTTTTTTTTTTTTTAAGATTTTATTTATTTATTTGACAGACAGAGATCACAAGTAGGCAGAGAGGCAGGCAGAGAGAGCAGGGAAGCAGGCTCCCTGCTGAGCAGAGAGCCCGATGCGGGGCTCGATCCGAGGACCCTGAGATCATGACCCAAGCCAAAGGCAGAGGCTTTAACGAACTGAGCCACCCAGGTGCCCCTAAATGCCGTATTCTTATTTAAAAAAAAAATAACTTA